TCATACAGGCATGCACCACCATGGCTGACTAATTTTTCTATATATGTGTTAGTTGGACAATTAATTTCTTTCTATTATAGTAGAGACGGGGTCTCGCTTTGCTCAGCTGGTTTCGAACTCCTGACCTCGAGCTATCCACCACCTAGGCCTCCCATAGCGCTAGGATTACAGGCGTGAGCCACCGTGCCGGCCTGGTTTTTTATCTTTTTAAAACTTAAAAGTAATGCTTAGGGACTTAAAAATTTATAATAGCAATATATGTACACTGTAGAAAATTAGAAAATAGAGTAATAACAAAGAAGAAAAAACTACCATAATACAACTCAGAGGTAATTATTATTAATAGCTTGGTGTACATCCTTCTATAATTTTTCTATGTGTAGATGTACTGTAAGACCAAAATGAGCTCATTTTATCTTCTAAACTGCTCTTAAATGTTATGAATATGTTCCCACATTAAATATTCATCAATATTATTTTAAAAAACACTTATAATTTCCTATTGCTGGGCATTTCAAGTGTTCCCTTTTTCTTTTCTTAAATTACTATACACAAAGATAAATGTTTGAATACTTTCTTAATTATATCCTTGAAAAAATTCTTAGAAGTAAAACTGCTGATCAAAAGGTATGGAGTTTTAAGGCTCTTTGGACATACTCTCAGACTGCCTTTGAGAATGACTGTTCCAATTCAACTCTCTCTCCCTGGCCTCTCACCTCTCAATCAGTGCTCTCTGCATGGCCTCCTGGCTATATGGGCACCTCCCAATGACTACAGCTGTCAGGTAGATGGGCTCTTCCAGGAAGTGTGTCAGCAGTGCCCCTTGGCATCCAAGGACATTCCATCGGGCCACCTTGTCACTGCAGGACATGGAGCTAGTCCTATCTCCCCGGCCTGGCTTTACCCGGAGCAGCCCCACCTGGTGATATGCAGCACCAGGCTGCCCTGAGTCTCCAGCTTCTCCAGGCACACACTTGGCTCCAGTTCTATGAACGTCCACTACTTGGGCACCACGAGGGCTTATTCTGGTGACAGAGGCCAGGTTTGAGCTGCTGACAGCTGGTGGAATTGGCCACTCTCCTGTTTGCTACAACTCTGACGATCAGCTGCACCACTGGCAATCTCCCTGGCAGGAGTTCAAGCTTCGAAGCCCATATCTTCCCAAAAAAGAAAAAGGAATAAAGATTGAAAAACAAAAACCAAGTCATTACTTGCCGATGATTGCAATATTGTCAGTTCTAGTCTGCATAGTAAGACAAGAAAAAGAAATAAAAGGAATTGAGGGCAGGGCACGGTGGCTCAGGCCTGTAACCCTAGCACTCTGCGAGGCCGAGGCGGGTGGACTGCTCGTCGAGGTCAGGAATTCGAAACCAGACTGAGCAAGAGCGAGACCCCATCTCTACTATAAATAGAAAGAAATTAATTGGTCAACTAATATATATAGAAAAAATCAGCCAGGCATGGTGGCACATGCCTATAGTCCCAGCTACCTGGGAGACTGAGGCAGAAGGATCACTTGAGCCCAGGAGTTTGAGGTTGCTGTGAGCTAGGCTGACACCATGGCACTCATTCTAGCCTGGGCAACAAAGTGAGACTCTGTCTCAAAAAAAAAAAAGAATTGAGGATTGGAATGGAAGAAACACCACAGTTTTCCCTTCAACAACACGGGATTTAAACTGTGTGGTGGCACTTATACATGTCTTTTCTTCCACTGCAGCCACCCCTGAGATAGCAAGACCAACCCCTCTGCTTGCTCTTTCTCCTAAGCCTACTCAATGTGAAGATGACAAGAATGAAGAAGACCTTCATGATGATCTATTTCCATTTAATGAGTAGCAAATATATTTTCTCTTCCTTATGATTTTCTTTTTCTTTCTTTTTGTGAGAATCTCATTCTGTTGCCCGGGTGAGTGCCATGACGTCAGCCTAGCTCACAGCAACCTCACACTCCTGGGCTCGAGCGTTCCTCTTGCCTCAGCCTCCCGATAGCTGGGACTATAAGCGCATGCCACTACACCTGACTAATTTTTCTATTTTTAGTAGAGACAGGGGTCTCACTCTTGCTCAGGCTGG